TCTTCCTGGTGAGATTTATCACTCAGTGATGAAACTCAAAACTTCTAAATCCGTATGGGATACTTTATGTGTCCAATATGAAGGAACCTCTCAGGTTCAGGAGACTAGAAAGATCAATTTAGTAAGACAATACGAAAGCTTTCTCTGTGGAAAGTCGGAGACGCTGTCTGAAGTACATCAAGGATTTAATTGCCTTCTTATTGATCTAAGGGCTGTCGATAGGGAATATTCTAATTCTGAAACCTTGACTAAGTTTCTAGAATGCCTTCTTCAGTCTTGGGACACCTTTTCCATGTGTCTCAAGATGTCAAATGACATGTTCACTCTTTCTCTTTCGTCTTTATACAGTATTCTGCTTAACCATGAGCAATCTCGTCAACTAAAAAGAAATCTTGTAAGAGATTCCAGGGAAATGAAAAGCTCTCCTTTAGCTTTGATCTCTGAGTCTTCTTCAGTTGAAACCTCTACTCTTTTTGTCTCTTCTCTACCTCCCGTGGTCATCACGAATATTGACTCTTCTGAGGACATTCCAGAATCTGATTTAACAGATTTTGATGAGTCCCTAACACTCCTGACTAAGTCATTCAGGAGGTTCTCCAGTAAGAGCAAATTCCGCAAATCTCCTCAGCTATCCCTAAGTGAGAAGCCAAAGTCTGAAAGAATAGACAAGGCTTCAGCTGTCTGCTACAATTATCACCGGCCTGGACACTTTGCAGGTGAATGCAGATCGAAGAAGACTGTGACGCCATCTTCTAAAGCTCCTTCCTCCTTCAGGACCATAGATGATAAATACTTAAAACTGAAGGAGAAATACAATAAGATGAAAAAAAACCAGCAAAAGGCTAAAGGTCTTGTTGTTGAAGAGCATGACTGGGCTGAATCATCTGATGAATCATCTTCTGACGAGGAAGATAAAGCTTATGTCTACTTGATGGCTATTGATGCTGATGAAGGTTCTTCTAAAGCATCTACCTCTTCTGAGCCATATTCTGTTGCTCAGGTATGTATCCTGAATGAACCTTCTTCTAGTCTTTCTGCACTAGATACGCTGACGGTTGACCTTTACAATGCCCTAAATGGCAAATCTAAAGCTGAAATGCTTAACGTTGATCTTCATGAGCAATTAAAGATTTGTCATTCTAAGATCAAAGAACTGACCTCAGTTGAGGAAAATCTTAAGGATCAGGTTATTGTAAACCAATCCATCACTGTTGAACGTGAGAAAGTTGTCGCTGAGCGTGAGCAAGCAATCGCTGAACTCAAGGCTGAGAAAGCTACCATTGAAGGATGGTGTAAAGCTTCTCTCAAAGCCTCTGAGATCATTAACGCTCAGATCCCCGCCAAGAAAACGACTGGTCTAGGATTCTCCTATGATCAGGAAGAATGTGTTAAAG